TTCAGTAGTCTAAAGAAATTATATTACCAGAGGGAACGAAGCCGGAGAAAGAGTTGTTGCGGATGTCGAGAACTTCGAGCAAAGGAGCACCGGCGAGTTTCACCGGAACAGGACCAAAGAGATTGTTGAAGCTCAAGTCAAGCCTAGTCAACGTATTAATATTACCTAAACTCGCCGGAATGGCGCCGGAGAGTTGGTTATATTGTAAAGCCAAGACAGTAACCTTCTTGAGAGAACCTAACTGCGTCGGTATGCTCCCACTTAACTTGTTGTAACATAACTGAACAACTGCAAATACAAGTACACCCAAAAAAAAACAGAGTTATGAGTAGAGATTCATTTTTATTTATTTTTGTTGAGTTTTTGGTTTTTCTATGATTTTATTAGTATCAAAAGCCTCTCAACAATAAAATAGTTTTTGGCTTTTGCACAAAAAGGAGTGAAGGTGTACTACAAAAGAAAAGAAAAAAGAGTTTCCCTAGTTTCTAGGAGAATCAAAAAAATTTCAAAGTTGAATGGGTTACTCAAACAAAAGTTATTTTACCAATGTTCTAAGAACTTGATTAGATTAGTTTTTATAGAAAGAAAGAAAAAAATAAAAACAATTATAGAATGTAAATAACAACAATTTCAAAACTAAACAATTCTTTGATGCTAGCTTAATAAAACCAAACTTGACCCACTTTTAAGTTCTTTTTGGCTGCAATAAATGAAATATTTAGTGAATGAGTTTGATTAAAAACACATGCATAAAAAAAGACAGAAGACATACCTTGAAGATTGTCCAAGTTCCCGATTTGAGGAGGGATTTCACCGGAAAGATTGTTGACATTGAGGTACAAATCAGCGAGGAGAGGCAGATTTGAGATAGCTTTAGGAATCTGACCGGTCAAGGAGTTGAAGTGAAGGTATAAACCGGTTAAGCTAGTGAGAAGACCGATTGAAGGAGGGATAGTCCCGGTGAGACCCATTCCTTGGAGAGATATGTTAGCAACACGGTGGTTTCCGTCGCAAGCGACGCCGTCGAAGGAGCCGGAGGAGCAAGGGTCGGCGTCGGGAGTCCATGAAGTGAGGAAACGTTTCTGAGGGTCGAGAGAGGATTTGATGTCGAGGAGAATGTCGAGCTCTGAGGAAGAAGAAGACAGTGAAGGAGAAACCAAGAGGAGGAAGAAGAAGAAGAAGAAGAAGAGGATGAGAAAGTGTGAGAGTGGAGAGGCCATCTTTGGTTGTAGAGAAGAGAGAGAGTGTGTGATGAGGAAGAAAATGACTTTCTCTCTTCTCTTGTGGTTTTGAAGCATTTTTTCTTTCTTTCTATTGTTGTTTATAAAATAATAGTTCTTGATTTGTTAAGTCAGAAAAAAGCTTTAACCACAAAGTATATAAGATATATCGTAAGAATAATAAAAAAATATGAAAAAGTTTGTTCAACAGCGAAAATGTTACAATGATAATGAAAGAATCATAACTCTCTATTCTAATGTAGACTAATCTCCAAATTTATAAAGGTAAAATTTTCTATCTATTTTAAGACATTCATAATAGATAACTCTAATTGTTCTGACAAAGTTTTGAAGGGCCAATAATGTCTAACTATTAGAGTTAGACACTTAGACTACCTCAAAATTAAAACTTGGTTTACTACAATATTTTGATTGTTTGTTCATGTTAGATGAAGTATTCTACATTTACGTTCCTAATATATTAAATCTAATATCTAACATTTTTTTGGTGTGTATTGTTTTGTTTTTTTTTACTGATTAGTAAAATAGTAAAGCTTGTTTGGGATTGAAGGGAAACAAAAGAGGAGTCACGTAAACTAAAATATAGAGAAGTACCCACGACTTTCATTTCATGTTCTGTACTACATACGGTAAAAGACTAACTTTTAAAAGACTTTTCAGAGAAAAAACAATAATAGTTAGGCGAATATTATTAGCTTTTTTCTTCTATCTTTTATTTTTTTTCAAAATTGAAAATGATACCACTCTCTCTAGATTTAAAGGTAATAAAAAGTTGTTTCTTTTTCAGTGCACCAGCTATATAAATCGTACTTTTTATTATCATTGTTTTAACTTTCCATATATCCATTATGCTACCATTACATTACTTAGTTATGTTTCCTTATATATATATATATATATTACTAAGTAAATTCATAAATAAATCCATCCAAATGAGAATATTTTACTGAAAAACATAAGAACTGTGTGGTTCAGTTAGGACAAATATAAAACCCTTTTAATTACTTAACGAGATTAAATTAAGCTCGAGTTTGTCAGATCATCATCTGTAAAATACCCTTTAGATATGACATGTACAAGAACCTGATAACCTGCTTTATACATGTTCACATGGAGAATAAGGTACAAAAGAGATAAAATGAGATTATTCCATTAAATTACTATATTTGAAATGCAAATAATTGTTACATGAATAAACACAAAAAGTAGCTTATATATTAATATATAAATATTGTAAAACAAAAGAGATAGGAGGAAAAAGGCATCCAAGAGGCATGGGGCTAAGAGTACATCAAATGGTGACAAAGAAGACGATGGAGGCAAGTCAATAGAAGGCAACATGTGAACATTTTTTACTCTCTTCATAAACATATTCTAGTAGCAATTTCTTTTTTTATTTTATTTTTTATAAAGAACATGTGAACTCCTCTTGAGTAGCTAATAGTTTTTGTTCAGCTATCTTCTTGATCTGGTCACAGCAAAAGGTAAAATGGACCAACACATCGCTCCTCCTCTAACTATAACATGTGAATTTACAGAAACTAGAAAGACATAAAGCAATAGAATAAAGCATAAAGGCTACAAGGGCTACTTGAGATTTATATATATATTCCATTTTTCTCTGTAGTCTTCTCACTTCGTGTCTAGTAGTGGTGGATGATATTTATATCTAAGTGGTGGATGACTTATATACATTCTGTATATATATGGAAATGAAATCATTGATGACATATTAGTGTTATCAAAAATAATGTGTGCATGATAACTCAATTAGTGTAGTCAATTCTCTAATTTTCTTGAATATAATTTAATTGCTTCTCTTATAAAAACCTATAATAATGCGTAAAACTCACTTGAAACAAATATCTAATTGACTAATTAGCCGACATACTTCTACTAGATCATCCAAATGGTAAATGTTATAGCTATAAGAAACAGTGTAGTGTGATATGATTTTATAAAGAGAAGTCACGCGTTAGATATATATTTTGGATCGTCTCCAGAGAAAACCCTAACACGTTATCTAAACCCAGCCTGTCTCATCTTGTTTGGATGTATGAGATCGATGTTTCATGTATTTTGTTACAAGAAGAACCATCTAAATTTATTTGTTTTGTTTCATCAATAAATCATTATAATTGTGTATGTTGGTACTTGGTAGGCACCCCATTTTTTTACTGATTAATTTTTAATTTTATCTATCATCCTTGTCTTGTTTTTGAGCAAAACTATGTTTTTTGTTTTGTTATATATCGTGTCTATTTTTGTGTGGAACCATAACTTATTTATATAACTTGGTTTCATTCTCGTAAATTTAGACGTTGAAAACTGAAACTTGTATGTGTGTTCGATGTGTTTTTCTTTAAATTATTGTATCTACGAATTGGTCCAAACGCTATATGTTGTATAGGCGTGCCAACTTAATTATCATATATATGTGATGAGATCAAATGCATTAATACAATTTTTCTTTAATCATAAGAATTATACAGGTTAACAAGTTTCGTCAATTATGGTTTATAAAATTTCGGCTATCATTGGCGTTAAATAGTTAAACTACATATAATTACAGTAGATAAGACTTTATTTTGTCATATTCATATAGCTAGATAATCCCCACTACAAAAAAAAGGATGGAAAAAAAGATCAAATTTCAAATTTAGAAAATTCAAATATAAGAAAAATTCTTCAATCTCACCTAACACAGGACGACAAAACGAAGTAGTGTTCCATGATAGAACTCAGAAAGCCAGTATATATATAAGCTCATGATTACAATTTATTTTTCTATAAAATAATTTATTATTTTTGCTAACAATTGTTTCTATAAATAAATATTATATGCTACGAACAAAATTAATCAAGTTCTTTCATGAAAAAACTTATATACTTTGTGCCAAACAGATATCATATAAAAGAAATACTTATGGTCACTGTGCTTTGGCAGATATTTTTGGTTCATATATAGTTGACAATTGTATGTCATATTCATATTATATCTGCACAGTTCATCGCTCGGTTCATTGGTTTCTAATGATTCATCATAATGTTCCATTGATTCCATCCCAATTCCCATAACATACTATCAAACATCTCTCACACCGTTTAACATTTTACAAAGTTAGATGTAGGTGAAATTAAGTTTACATATACATAGATCAACGTTATTCGAGTAAATTGAAAACGAGAACTTAAAAACCAAAATTTGATGTAGATAACTATAGCATTTATTAACTAGTCTACATTTTGGAGAAAATTTTAACAAGGTTTTTTTTCTTTTCTTTCCGATGTACTTATATTGACTAGGAAACAGTATGTAAGAAAAATATGATTATGAAATGTCTGCATCACGGACATCGAGTTTTCTTTTGTTTGGAGACCACAAAAAACCAAAGCAAGTCGAAGACAAGATTCAAGTATAAAAGCATATACACTAGACACTAATTAACTAATGATACTACTACTACAGTTTTATATTCATTCTGTGTTAATTAAAAGCTCCAATCACGTGACCAAGACAAATGTTCACTTTAAATAGTAATTAACAATAATCTCGTCGGACATTACATATCTTTTACGAGTTTTATCTTTTTTGCTTTCACGGTTCTCACTCTCTTTTGATATTCTTGCGTTTCTCTATACCTTTTTCTTTCTTTCTTTTATTTGATGATATGTTGTTGTATATACCATTCCTTTCGTTTTAAATTCTGACATTATGATACAATCAAAGACTAATAATAATACACTAGAGATTTGGAGTTTCGATAACCGCAGCTTAAAAGACTAAATCCAACTTTAAGCATATGCATAATTATAACTTTTCAGACCAAACTTGCAAAGGAAAAGGTTCTACATGTTCTTAATGTTTCTTTCGTATTTGGGCCTTGGGCCTTGAATTCTCCCCACGTTTATGCACCACAAAAAGGCTTTATAACACTTGGTTTCGTTTTTTACACGCGTAGGTGAATATCATGTCTTTCAGGCTTTATCGAAACACCACCCTTATCGGATTATCTTGAACGTTCCGATAATCTTTCACATGTGCAATTGAAAACATAGAGACAAGCATCGTCACAGTCATTGTCACAGAATCCTGCTGTGAATCTTCGGATGATGTTAAATCATATGAATCAGAATGGTATGGATTGCCGATCAGGCCAAGACTCGATCTTCTGGAAGTAATCGACAGGCACTACACCATCAATGCCTTCAGTCAGAATCACTTTGTTGTCTGAAATGTAGAACGCAATCCCATCTGGAAATTTTCACAAGAATTACTGAAATGTTCGAATCTTTGATGGACACAAAACTAATTTTTATGACAGGGAATTAAGGTCTCATGCTTAAGTAAATACCTTCAAGAGCTTTCTTCATGTCGAGGAAGATCAGAACATTGACATTCCTTCTCATGCCTTCGCCAAAATCATGTAAATTTGGAATCAGATACATGTGCTTATGCAATGATGCAGAACAACAACCAATAGGGATCAAAATCTTACCACTAATCACTTCACCATCTGTTGGTAAGCCACAGGAGAAGTGAACATGCATTCTATTCATGCGCTTTAAGCCCGATGCTAAGATTAATTCCAAATTCTTCCTATAAGTTCCATGTACACACACTGCCATGGAGAAATTTCTAATGAACACGAGCAACTATGCTAGTCATACATAACATAAGTCACAAGTAAGTGTCCTAGTAGTACCTGGAGCTTCTTCTGGTGACAGTATTGGTTTAAGCAACTTTTCCGACTCTACAGTCTGCACACAAAGACAGAAAGCTAAAGCTACGAAGCATATTGATCAAAACTAGGAGAACACATATCTAATGATACTGTTATTGTGTTTACAAATTTACTGAAAGAAAATGGAAATGTCTCAACTTTCAACAAAAATAAAAGATGAAGAAGCTAAGGATTGTTTAAAGTCCAATTACCTTGATTGAGTGGCCTTGGTTTGCGCGGATCAGGAGCTCACCATTCTCTTCTAATAAGCTAAAACGTTGTTTATTATCTCTTCTCACAGCCTGCAAGTTAACGAAACCATTCCAAAACTCATTATAAACGACTTCAATCGAAATTGCTCGTTGACCAACACAAGTGAAGATAATGAAACTGACCTCTCTGATTTCATCAATCGTGTGTGACTTCAATTGAACATTAGCAGACGTTTTCAAATTCAGCTTAAGTAAATCTTCAACTTTAACAAAACCATCACCTCGCATGTTCAATCTCAGCTCAGTAGCCATGTGTCGCAAGATTCGTGTCCTAATTATCCATCCAAACTACAGTCAAAGTAAGCTATAAATCTCTACAACACATCTCTAATCAGTAGTGATCCTACTTACAAGAGTCTTCCAAGCGCATCAATTTTATCTTTTCCGGCACCGCCACTGCCCTGAGGTCTTCTTCTATCGTTCTCTCTCTCATAGCCTGCTCCTCTACCGCCGCTACATCCATAAAGAGCCGAAACCACATAAATCAATGAGGCAAAATCAAAAGGGATGTTGACTTTTCGAATAATGTAGAAAAAAATCGATTCACCTTCGGCTGGACTGAGCGAAAGAAGAGAAATTAGATTTTCTAGAAGAACTGGGAACTGATGCATCCATGAAAGCAGAAGCAGGAGACAGTTTCGGGAAGATACAGCTGCTCAAGGTCAGAGCTTGAAGACGACGCAGGAATCGACCTGCGTTGTTAATTGATGCCATAATCACCAATTAAACCGGTTAATTAATAATCGTGTGAGTCCCGGTTTAAAACTACTCATATTATTGGGCCTTTCGTTCACTGGCCCAGTAACTACATCTATACTTGGATCCGTGTCCGTTCTGGCGGGTCAGTGTACTCAATCCTCCTCCTCCGATCAACGATTGCAATTGAAGGTTTTGTTTGAACGATATCAATGGTTTCCCGGAGAGATTATCGGAGCATGAGATCTTGTAGCGGATGGCGTCGGTTTCTCTTACTTATTCCTGTGCTCTTTGTTCTTCCTCATCTCTTGTCACTTGTTGATTTTTCTTCCGATTCGGTGAGGAAAGATGCTCAAGCCGTTCATAGTAAGAAATTAGACCACCTTGTGCTCGGTCCTGTAGCTGGGCAAGGCTTGCCGGATCGATTGCATTGCCGAGGTTAGATTTTTGTGTATACTTCTATTTTTAGGTTTGCTAGAAGCTCCCTTCTTATTGCTACAACTTCGCAATTAAGCATTATTTTTGTCAAGCAACAGATCTAAATCACCATCTTCGATTTGTGTTCAGAAAGTGATCTGAGTAATCTTCATAGCATAAAGTGAGTGTAGAAATCGTTCGTTCTGTGAATGAGTAACATCATAGTCTTACACTTAGCTTGTTTGGTTTGCTTTACAAACATTGCACGATTAAATATCTTATTGTATGCTTTTTATGAACTGAATATTTGGGATGACAGTGTTGTAAATTGTCTTTTGTCTAGGCACGAAGGCTCTGAACAAGACTCACACTACAACTTCTTCTGTGTCTGGTGCTGGAAATTGTGTTTCTTTTGTCACTGTGTTTACTATTTATAATACTTCGATCGATAGTGTGAAATCCTCCAATATGGTTTCTGTTGTCGGGAATGTTACCTACAGCAAGCCAGAGAGGTCAATGGCAGTTCTAAATGCATTTGCCAACTTCATTCAGGTAACTTGCTGAGTTTCCCTCTCAACTTCTTTTGAATTTTTTTTGGTGTTTCTTAGCTGCTGTGGCTGCTATCTGATCAAATCTGTTTTTAGGTGACTATGCCTAAGAGCAACGTTGTCATATTGACTGATCCAGCTTCTGATCTCTCCATCCATCAAAGCAATGTGGTGGTACAGCCTGTTCGGGGTGATTATTCACGGGGTAACCTGATGCTTCAAAGAATCAGGTCTTACATTGTAAGAGCAAAATGGCACTTATACCTAGGTAGAATAAATTTGTTGCTTTTGCCTATCTATCTATTTCTATGGCATCCACTTCTTAGGACCCGATCAAAGTTTCCTTTTTATTCATTTGTAAGAAAGTTTTTAGTAAAGTACCTGAGTTATTGAGAGAGCGAAAAAAATGCTCATTTGGTCACACTCTTGTTAAAAAAATTATTCTGCAGGCCTTTCTTGAAAAACAGCTTGAGAAGAGTGAGGGTGAGAGAAACCACTATATCTTCACTGATTCTGATATGGCTGTGGTTGATGACATCGGGACTATATTTGAAAAGCATCCAAGCTTCCATTTAGCACTCACCTTCAGGAACAATAAAGATCAGCCGCTGAATTCAGGATTTATAGCAGTGAGAGGCACACGTGAAGGGATCCTAAGGTTTGCATTTATCCTTTTCTCTCCTCGTTTAATTGAAACACTCCTCTCTTGAAAATCAGTATCTGAACCTGGTATGAAAATCAGCATAGATCACAAAAAGCTGACTGTATCTCTCTACTAAAACTTTTATACTCAGCATATTGATGACTCTGTTTTCATGTGATTCAAATGCAGGGCTAAAGTATTTCTAGAAGAAGTCCTAAAAGCTTACAAAACCAAATACATGAAAGCTTCGCGCATGCTTGGTGATCAATTGGCTCTGGTATGGGTTGTCAAATCTCATCCTTCCTTTGACGCAAAGAGATTTACAAAGCCACAAGCATTCACACAAGAAATAGCTGGAGCTTCAGTGCTGTTTTTACCATGTGCTCTATACAACTGGACACCTCCTGAAGGTGCTGGTCAGTTTCATGGCATGCCATTAGATGTCAAGGTACACTCTAAATCCCTAAACCATAAACCATCAAACCATCACGAATCCTTCATCATATTCTTACTAGTCTTGAAAAACGCAGATCGTTCACTTCAAAGGATCAAGAAAACGTTTAATGCTGGAGGCCTGGAACTTCTACAAATCTACTTCAAACATTCCAGATATGTTATGTCTTGTTCTAGGTAGTGGAAGAACTAAATACGATTTCTAAGCAAACAGTTGACGATGAAATAGACTCTATATGTTTGTTGTGTTGAATCTCTTTTATTTGATCAAATTTAAATCCACTACTACAACAAGAGTTACTTACTGGAGAAGTAAAATAAATGAATTAAATAAAAATCACCGAATGGGTCTGTCTGTGTTCTCTCACTCTGTTACAACAACAATCCCCAAAATTACTCAACAGAAGAAAAAAATAAAAAAGAACAAGAAATCAAAGATGATGAACCATGGAAAAAATCATCTAGCGGCGGCTTTTTTCTGACCGGAGTAATAACTCAGATACCATCTGACGAACTTCTTCAAACCGGTCTGGAGATCCGTCGTTGGTTTATAACCAAGCTCACGTTGAGCTAAACTAATATTAGCATGAGTATACGGAACGTCACCGTTTCGTGGCATCTTAATCAAATTCTTCTTCGCCTTCACTTTCAACTGTCTCTCCAATATACTCACCAGATCTGAAACCGGCACCGGCGACGTGTTCCCGAGGTTAAACACTCTCAGCTGCGCCGGTCCTCTCTTCTTCCCTCCTGTCCCTGTACTCTTCTCCGCCGTATCAAGTGACGCTAAACACCCTTTCACTATATCGTCGATGTATGTGAAATCCCTAGCCACCGTGCCGTGATTCGCCGATTCGAATATCGAAATCGATTTGCCTTTCAAAATGTCTTTGGTGAAGAAGAAGTACGCCATGTCTGGTCTTCCCCAAGGTCCGTACACCGTGAAAAACCTCAATCCGGTTAGAGATAATCCGTAGATGTGGTTGTAGGTGTGCGCGATCTCTTCGCCGGCCTTTTTAGTCGCGGCGTATAAACTCGCCGGTTGATCTGTTCTATCTTTCTCCGAGAACGGAACTTTCGTGTTGAGTCCGTAGACGGAGCTAGACGAAGCCCAGACTATAGCAGGTTGTGGATTCGCAGATTTGCAGATCTCGAGGAGATTGACAAATCCGGCGATGTTGCTATGAACATAAGAGCTAGGGTTTTCCATGGCGTACCGTACACCAGCTTGAGCTGCTAGATGCATTACGTGAGTGAAGGAGACGATCTTGAATAGCTTACGGAGCAATTCGACGTCGTTTATGTCTCCTTCCACGATGAAGATACCACTTCTCTCTAGTAAAGCTTGTCTCGCTCGCTTTAGAGATGGATCGTAGTAGTCGTTGAAGTTGTCCAGGCCGATTACGCCGTCTCCTCGGCGTTTCAATGCGGCGGAGACGTGTGTGCCGACGAAACCGGCTGCTCCGGTTACCAAAACTGTGATTCCGTTGCTCGTAGAGGTTCGGATTCGAGCTGAGGATCGGAGACGTTTTTCCCAAGCGGGTCCTCCGTAGGTGTAGGTACGGAGTGAGCGGCGAGATGGATCGGAAGGTGAAGGGTTGACGGAAGGTGGAGATCGGAGGAAGAGTAGAGAGATGAGACAGAGGAGGAAGAAGGAGAAAAATGCAAACTTTGTGAGAGAAGATTGGAATCTGAGACGATGCAAGTAAGAAGATTTCTCCATCTTGAATTTGCCTGGGCTTGAAGGTATCTCGTCAAGACGCGACATTGTTATTTTCTATTTTCTCTCTTTGGGAAAGTGAGAAGGAGATATATTTTTGGGTTTGACTCTTTGGTTCTTCTTCTTCTTCTTCTTCTTCTTCTGCTTTCGCTATGTTCTCCTCTCTTCCTTGTTTTGAGTTTTAATGGCAGCTTCTTAGAATCTTCAGGTTTCTTGGAGGGGATTAAGTAAAAAAAATGGAAGGTTTCTTTATTATGACTCCAAAATGAGAAACACGAATGTTATCTTTATATTAATATATATATTCGAGGATCAAAGTTTTGTGTGTGATAAAGAGAGTGTTGTGAATTTTTTTTTTAAAAATAAATTAGAACATGGGGATTGAAGATTTTAGAGATCCAAATCAAAGAAGAAGACGAAGAAGAAGATGAAGAAGAGAGTCAAAAACAGGTATTTTGATCTGTTTGACTTGAATTTAAATACAAATAAGAATAGGAAAGATATAGATTCCTGTTAACAATAGATAAACTTTTGACTGTAAAAGTTGTTGAATTTTCTAAAGAGGACTTGAAATTTTTCTGATTGGTGAATAATATTACTCCAAGATTTTCGGGAAGCCTCTGATCCCAAAAAGAGTTTTTGAATTTGAACCAAAAGTGTGAAACTTTTTGGTTAATAGATGTGTTTTGCGGGGATAGTTGTTAAATAAGAAAATGGAAACTCTAAATTTGAACAGAGGTTGGTTGGTGTAATTAGATTACCCTAAATCCTATGTTTATACGTTTTCCTTGAATGGTGTAAACAGATATTTTGGGCTCTTCAAACTTTGGTTTTAGTGCTTTCATCTAAAAATAAACGTATGTATAGGGTTAAGCCATGATTGTATAAACTGTGTAGGGTTAAAAACATGGTTCAGTAAGTGAATAAAACCAACTTTTAGGAAAAAAAATGGCTAAACAATAAAAAGTTGTTAGAATCACAAGAAGATGTTTTTTTTTTCCTTTTTAATTTTGTTAAAAAAAAAAAGGAACAAGTGAAAAAAAAAAAAAAAAGAGAGGAAGAGAGGCTATAATGGCACTCAAGGACCCCATGTGGAAGAGTTGATTACATAAGACAAGAACATGTCCTCTTTCTCTTCTTTATGAATTGGCATAACATGTCCCCGTGCCTTTGTCCCTCTTTCAGATGTATCTACTCCAAGATCTACTCTCTTGTCTCTTTCTCATTGCTGTTCAAATATATTTCATCACAAAAACCCCATTGAGAGCTCCTTCTACTTGATTACGAGTATCCATCCATATGCTAGGCAATGCCATTCGATTGTGATAGCGATTTCAATGTGTTCGATGTGGTTTTGGAGCTATGCGTATTTTGATTGAGATTTATCCATACGTAATTCCATTGATCGCAGTTTTGTCATTTCCCAAACACAAGCTTAATTTGGTGCAGTCTTACCAATAACAAAGATTCCCTCAAATCTTGGATTTAAACGAGAATGGGCTTGGTCGGCCCATCAAAACTGATTCAGTGTTGCATCTCACTCGGTTCCAGTACACACACAAACAATACTCTTGGTTAATGTTACAGAGGCAAGAAACATGGAAACAGACAATCGCATTGGATCGAAAAGTAAAGACAATGGAGTTTGGAGTTTTTTTCTGTCTAGTGCTTTGTGATTCTTTCAAGGACTTGGAAGTAGTCGGGGAAAGTTTTTCTGGTGCAACCAGGATCTCTGATGGTGACTGGAACATCAGCACAAGCTGCAAGAGAAAATGCCATCGCCATTCTATGATCATCATATGTATCAATCTCCGCTGGTGTCAGCTTTTTTGGTGGAGTTATCACACAGTAATCTGAACCTTCTTCAACTGTAGCTCCCAGCTAAACAAAAACCGCAGAATTTATGGTATCGAACGAGCATTATAAACCGAGAAAGAGAAAATAATTCTTACCTTTCTAAGCTCTGTGCAAATGGCAATCATCCTTTCTGTCTCCTTTACTCTCCAGCTAGCCACTATATTAACCAAATAGTATGAACGATTAAGTGACCATGAATCTTGAGAACACGCTTATTTATAGAAATGGTATTTTTACTTACCATCTCTAATGGTGGTTGGACCATCAGCAAAGAGAGCAACGACAGCAAGAGTCATGGCTACATCAGGCATTTTGTTCATGTTGACATCAATAGCGTGCAAGTGTCTCATTCCAAAAGCATCTCTAGGTGGTCCTGTCACAGTCACACTGTTCTCTGTCCAGGACACTTTACATCCCATTTTCTCAAGAACCTCTGCGAATTTCACATCTCCCTTGAGATTCATCACAAATATGAAAGTTTAGATTCTTGAAAATAAGTTCACACAACTTGACAAAGCCTTAGAAAGACTAAACTTTGAGCTGATCGAATTGCATTATAAACTTATATCGTTGTTGATGATTCAGAGTAGAGGTATTACCTGCAAGCTGGTCGTTCCACAACCTTCAACAGTGACAGTCTCACCGGTAATGGCAGCACCAGCCAAGAAATAACTAGCACTAGAAGCATCACCTTCTACATAAGAATTAGCCGGAGACCTGAATCATTTCACCATTTTAGTCACTATATTGTCAATCTAGGGCATGTGACTTCAGAAAAGGAAGAAAAGAATAACTCTTACTTGTATTTTTGCCCGCCCTTGACAAAGAAACGATCCCAGCTATCACTATGCTCGGCACTGACCCCGAAACGTTCCATCAACTTCAGTGTCATTTCAACATATGGAACAGAAATCAATTTATCAACTATCTCAATCTCGACATCTCCAAGAGCTAAAGGAGCTGCCATGAGCAGAGCGGTCAAGTACTGACTACTAATTGATCCCGAAAGCTTCACCTGGAAATGCAAAATATAATCCGATGTGTCAATCAAGAAACCATACAAGAAATAAAAAATCGAGAAAAAAACTAATCTCTAATAAGAAATCCATTTCACACCATTCCTTTTATTTTAGGATCAATCCGCTAACAACAAACTAAAACAGTCAAGCTAAGCCTATGATTGAAATCACATTGCTACATGTATTGATAAAGTAAGTATCGAGATTGAAAATAACACATGCCATTTGCAAGATCTAACCTTTCCACCAGGAAGGCCACCATTAGCATTGACACGAACAGGAGGGCAGTTAGTTCCAAGGGTACATTCAACATCAGCACCAAGCTGCTTAAGACCAACAACCAAATCCGCTATAGGTCTTTCTCTCATCCGAGGCACCCCATCAAGCACATAACTGGAATAAACCGATCAAAAACAAAAACAAAAAGAATCAGCACAAGCTCCAATCTTTAAACATCAAAAACTCAGAAGCATCAACTCCTTCAATCTACCTTGCGTTGCCACCTGCGGCAGTAACTGCAGCGGTAAGTGGACGCATGGCTGTTCCAGCATTTCCGAGGTAAAGTTCAATATCACTCTTGGAATCTATGGAAGCTGGGAATATCCCACCACATCCTTCAACTACCGCACGATTGTTTTCACTGTCAGTTTGCACATTAAGCCCCAACTTCTTCAACGCATCAAGCATGTAATTGATGTCATCACTGTTCAACAAGTTGTCCACTACAGTAGTTCCCTAAAACATGACAGCAAAATGGTAAAGAATCTATCTTCATTCTCAAGCTAGAGGAAAAAATGCAGACTTTGTGAACAGTAACGATAGAAATCTAAGTCATATATACCTCAGATAGAGCGGCGAGAAGCAGAATCCGATTTGATAGAGACTTGGAGCCAGGTAGCTTAATCAGACCCGAGATTTCTCTAATGGGTTGAAGCACAATCTCCGACGCCTTCTCAGCCGTGGAAACAGAAGCCATAACCTTAACAGGACGAACCGTAGAACCATTTAGCATCATCCCAGTTTTCTTCGAAACCCACGACGAAATCGGATAAGCTCGAGGCTGCTGCTGCGTCTTCAACGAGACTGATAAGGGCGATTTGTGTTTATTGGATTTTGAAAGGTTGGAGATAACAAATGGGTTTTGCACACCATTGCAGATTCTGCTAGCTTGCGCCATTGGAGAACAAATTCAATCGGGTTGAGAAATTGGGAAACTACTTGCTGAAAATTTTGATATTTCAGCTCTGCCTTCGCAAAAAAAATATTCCAGAAATTGGTTGGTCTAATCTCAGATTATAGAAATGAAATTTATAAAGTTGTGCGTTGTATTGGCGGCTTGACACTTTTGGGGGGTTTGGGGGGAGTTGGTGAGGAGAAGGCATCCATCAAAATCTTTCACCAACCCAACTCTTACGACTCTCGTCTGGTTTGAGCACATTAATCATACCCAATGACAACACGACACGTGTTAATTAGGTGTTCCCGTCAAACAAGTCGAGAAAGCAAGTGGAGAGAGAGAGGAGGCTCTTTGGTTCTTGGTAGGTAAAGAAATGGGATTTTAATTAAATTGGGCCTTGAGGAACTTAATGGGCTTTTAACCAAAACCCAGGAGCGACCCAAAATAATCTGTACTGTTTCGAATCGAAATTTGTTGGGGTTGACCAATAACGACTTTTCCTTTTAGTTGTAGATATTTGGAATTGATAAATGAATTAGGAAATTTTTGACAACCAAAAAGGAAATACATGTTTTATGAAAAGGAAAAATCCAACCATAAAAAAATACAACAAAGTTATTATTGTACAGAAGAACACCAAATTACCAATGGATTTTAAAATAAATCAATACAAACTTATGTTAAATATAACGGATTCATACAAATTCTTCCAAGACAGCGGATCTGATCATAAAAGACATCAAAGTGCTCATTAGGGCTAGACTTGATCCCATATCCAAGGCCGACTGGATGCTCAGTCATGGGGACTTTGGCTTGCAGTGTTGCCAGTAGAGTTGCCACCACATCTCCTCAGTCGCTACTCTTGGTTGCTGACTTGCTGTCCTTTTGTTTTCTCTTGTCTGTTGTTGTGTTTTTTTCTTCTGGTGTTTTTTCCTATACAGATCAGAAGTGCTACTTAATGTTGTCGTGGGCCTTGTGTCTTGCTAGTTCTTGGGCATGCGCGTCTATTTTTCGGCTTGTATGTTTTACTTGGGCATGTGTGCCTTATTTAGACCTTTTCGGTTTGTATTTTTTTGGGCTTGCATGCTAATTGGGCTTTATGCCTTGTAATCAATCGGTATGAAATTTAAAAAAAAAAAAAAAAACTTATGTTTAATACAAGAAAAAACATAAGCTCCATTGGTGCATACAAAAAAAAAAAAAAAAAAGCTCCATTTTTTTCATTTATTATCTTTGAAAATTTTCAAATCCAAACCAAACCTCAGTACTTGTAAGATAAGATACTCTTTTAGATAAGCGACCTAGCTGCATCAACCACAGCTTCAATGGTGATACCAAACTCTTTGTAAAGCTTCCCTGCTGGTGCACTTGCCCCAAACGTATCAATTCCAATCGATCTCCCTTTTCCTCCAACGATCTTTCCCCATCCAAAAGTCGATCCAGCTTCTATACTTACTCTAGCTGATACATCAGACGGCAAAACACTTTCCTTGTATGCATCTGATTGCTCGTCGAAAAGCTCCCAACATACAAAAGAAACTACTCTCACAGTTTTGCCTTCTTTCCTTAACTCCTCTGCAGCTTGAGCAGCAATCTCTAGCTCTGATCCAGTTCCGATCAAGATCACATCGGGCTTGTTACCGGTTGAGTTGTCGGAAATGGTGTATCCACCTTTCTCGACGCTTTCAATGGATGTTCCTGGAAGTTGAGGCAGCTTTTGTCTAGATAAGGCTAAGACAGAAGGTGTCTTACGTTTTGTGACAGCGATTTTGTATGCACCGGCTGTTTCATTCCCATCAGCTGGACGGAACATCATAATATTGGGCATGGCACGGAAACTGGATAAGTGTTCAATGGGTTGGTGGGTTGGTCCGTCTTCTCCAAGACCAATGGAGTCATGTGTCATAACGTATATAACACCGGCTTCAGACAAAGCTGAGATTCTCATTGCAGCTCTCATGTAGTCAGTGAAAACAAAGAAAGTTGCACAGTAAGGGATAAAACCGGGGCTGTGAAGGGCAATGCCATTGCAGATAGCTCCCATTCCGTGTTCCCTCACACCAAACCTAAGGTTTCTTCCTTCAGGTGTAGCTTTTTGGAAGTTTCCAAATGCTTTAAGCAATGTCATATTGGAAGATGCAAGATCAGCACTCCCGCCAAGGAAACCGGGAATAACTTTGGCAAGTGCGTTAAGACATTGCTGAGACAGGTTTCTGGTGGCATCACCTGGACATTCTGGTGTATATGTCTGAAAGAAATGAAAAGATGCAATAACTATGACATCTCAAGAATACCAAGTATTAAGTTACAGATTACCAGAAGTTTCTACTTACAGGAAGTGCCTTCTCCCAACCAGCGGGAAATTCACCCGAGATTATAGATGACAACTCTGCAGCTTCCTCTGGATATTTCTTCTCATAAGCTGCAAACTTGGCATTCCAATCAGCTTCAAAAGCAGCCCCTTCTGACGTGTGACGACTCCAATGGCTAGAAAACGTAACGATTATAGTAAACCAGAGCAGGTCCGGGTGTCATTACATACACATAAACAGAAACAGAGGTGTTGTTTTGTTCTACTTACCTTTTGACATCTTCAGGTACCTGGAACGGCTCATATGGCCATCCAAGGTTATTTCTGGTAGCCTCAACTTCCTTCTCCCCAAGCGCAGCTCCATGGACACTGTATGAGTTTGCCTTGTTGGGAGAACCATAACCAATTGTAGTAGTGACCTAAATCATGCAACAAAACAGTTGACACCAAAGGGCTATAAAACATTGCCAAAAGAGTTAATGGCTAACCAAATTGTGATGATACCTTAATTAAAGTGGGCTTGTCTTTTACAGCCTTAGCTTCCCTAATGGCAGCACGGATCTCATCATAACCATTGTTTCCATTCTTTACCCAAATAACATGCCATCCAAGGGCTTCAAAGCGCTTGTCCACGCTCTCAGTAAAGGCAATATCTGTGTCACCATCAATGGAAATGTGATTGTCGTCATAGAAAGCAATGAGCTTTCCTAGTCCCCAGTGGGCAGCTAGAGAGCAAACTTCATTAGAAATCCCTTCCATCTGACAACCATCTCCAAGAATCGAATATCTAATCAAAAACAGCATTTTCCAAATATAAAAATCAAACTCAAACGAAGAAAGATAGACCAAAACAAAATTGAGCTAAGAGGATGCAAAATCATACGTGTAGTGGTCAACAATCTCATTGTCAGGTTTGTTGAATCTAGCAGCCAGATGCTTCTCAGCAAGAGCTAAACCAACGGCGTTTGCAATACCTTGTCCAAGAGGACCTACATGTAGGCAAAGCGCAAACAATGCAATTACAAAGAGCAATTAAAGGAGAAGAGAAGCTTCTTTAATCGTCGTGAAACCGGAAAAAAGAATCTAACCAGTAGTGACTTCAACACCAGGAGTCTCGAAATTCTCCGGGTGGCCAGGAGTCTTACTTCCCCATTGACGGAAGCTCTTCAAATCTTCCTCCTAATAGACAATTCCAACACTTATTTCATCAAATCCTAATCCTCTTCTTCTACACTCTTAAAATCTATGTGAGTCAGCAGAGAATAAGCAGAGGAAGAGATGACGAACCCTAACGCTGTCGTAGCCAGCAAGGTGAAGCAAAGCGTAGTGCAACATGCATCCGTGTCCAGCGGAGAGAACGAAGCGATCACGGTTAAACCAGTAAGGGTTCTTGGGGTTATACCTCATGAACTCATCGTACAAGATGTGAGACATTGGAGCACAACCCATGGGGAGACCTGGATGACCTGATTTCGCCTTCTCAACCGCATCGATTGCCAGAAACCTGATCGTATTCACCGATTTATCAACCAGAGACGAATCAGTGGTTGTCTCGATCGCCTCTACAGCTGCTGCACGAACGAGATCTGGGCGGAAAGAGTGACTGCTCGTGGAGACACAGCCCCTACGGGTTGAGATGGTGCGTGGGAAAGTGGATTTGAGACCCGAGAAAGCTGGTACAGAGAAACGGTTTCCAGAGCCATCTCGAGAGATGGTTCGGGTTAGGAGAGCTTGAGAGAGAGCTAGAGAAGACGTAGAAGCCATTGCTGCTCTCTGGTTCGAATCACAGACGACACAATCTTGACGGCTGTGATCCCTCTACCGCTTCAATTTATCAAACCTTTCTTTTTTTTGGTTTAATTAATTTTCAACTAATCATTTGAATTTTTACGCTAATTATTAAATTAATCATTTAAGAGTAAAAAAAAAAAGAATAAGATTGACAGGGCGGCGTGGTTGGTGTGTAAAGCAAAAGCCATGGTCATGGCAAGGGTTGGTGGAGAAAGAACATAATTGCTTCAAATTTAAGAAATAAGAAATAATATTAGTCACTAATTCACCAACTCCGTTATTGACTGACCAGTTTAAATCAGGCAGTTCGATTGAATCAAGAACCGAACCAAAACTAAACCGGAGAAAGCTTACTCATGTGTGATGTGTCATCCTACTAGTAAGAGCTAGTTTAAACGAGCCTTCAGTACTTTGTGGTCACCTAATTTAGGAACACAACTAACCTGTGATTAGATTTTGGAGCTAATAATGACCTCATCATAAGCTAATTCCAAGTAGAAGGACGTGCTGTGAATTAAATAATCTCATGCATGAATTCCTACGGCAAGTGAGAAATTTTTGGCAAGCTTCATGAACTTTAAAACCATTTCGCTGAGCATTCGTGTCCTCTGAACTAAGTCATCAAAGTTCTGACGGAAATGAAAGGTGGTACTATCTACGATTACAACTTTAACCTGCAGCCATAAAAAATTATAGTGATAATTATGTTTCAATATACTTGTAGCAGCAGGATCAGTGAATTTCAAAGTAATATTTAAATTCTTTATACATTTATATTTTCAGAGTTTTTTTTGTTAATTTGTTTGACTAACTTTTTATAAAAAGAACTACATGTAACATAAGTACAATAAAACAAACATACGGTAAGAGAAGAGAGAAGGGTTTAGAGAATATGACAAAACAGAATAAAAGATGGGCAAAGTTCTTGAGAGCCATTGAAGAATCGAAACTCTATGAAAAAACGGAGTAAAAGATGGCATTATGAAAAATTCTTCAAAAGAGAAACATAGTCCGTAGGCTACCAAGAAGTTATGACATGTGGCCTCAATTTGTGTTAATAGTACGTGGCCTAAATTTGTGTCAATAGTACGTGGCCTAAAAGCTTACATGCCATATCATAATCAAAGACAGTAGTAAACCCCTAATAATGAAACTGAATATTAATAAATCTGATACAGCCAAAACGCAGACGACAAACTTGTTCCATTAGTAATGATAGAGTGAAGAATGGAAGCAAAGCATTAAGCATGTCCCGTACGTGCAATTATGGTTAGCTCGCATGTTTTTGGCCTCGTATAAATTTTAGCTCTTATCTGTAAATTATCTTTTGCTTTGAAATTTGCCAATGCGATCCTGAGAGATGTTATGTTAATTTCGTTCCAAACAAATGTATGCTAATCATTAGGCCATCTCCAACAGCAAATTCATTAGTATATTTTTTTTGAGGCGGTTGCATGCAGTACGATATTTCTACTGGCGGTAATTGCTTATGGTTGCGAATCGTGATATAATAATACAGTAGTTTTTTTTAATGGGAAGTACTGTTTAATTAGTGATATATCTACAACGGGACTTTTAAATTTAGACACTTTGGAAGTTGGGCTATTACGAAGCTAGTTAGCCAGGTGTCTCTTGTACACATTTCTCTCCGTCACAAGTACTAATCAGAAAATCTGATTCTTTTTCTCTTTCTGTGTAAAAGAAAAAAAAAACATTTAATATTCTCTGTTTAGTTGAAAATGTCACGACTTGCATAAATCAACAAAAAAGAGTTTACTATATTACAAGATGAAAATCTAAAAACAAATCTACACTAAATTATTTGCATCATGTATGTTCGAATAGCTACGTGGTATATTAATGGTAAGATGAATCTAAAAAATAATACGATCGTAAACTTAGAAGATGGAAGGAAAAACATACAATTTTTTTTTAGGAATAATTTGCGTTTTAGTACGTTTTCGAAACTTAATTTGCGATATAGTACGTTTACTATTTATAATTGGCAAAATAATACACTTTTACTATTTGAACACTATTTGAACACTATTTATAAATCTTTTAAATCAAATAACTATGATATTCATCAAAATATATTTGGTTTTTATAAAATTCTAGTTACATAAAAATCTATATTTTTATCTCTATAATTTGACATGCATTTTATTTTGATAATCTTAAATATTTTTTAAACAAATTTTGATACGTTCAGCTATCCTCATGTACAGTTGTGTGTCGTTGTACGGAAATTATTTTGTATATTTCCGTACAGCGATTTATATATACGTATAATTGTATGTGTACAGATATTTTTATGGTCTATATATGTATATTTGTTTATGTGTAAAAATGTTTCTTTATAGTTGTTTGTCTCTGTACAAATACTTTATGTATAATAATATGCTTCTGTACAGTTGTCTGTCTGTACAGATATATGAATAGTAAAACTGGGCTATTTTACTAATTATAAATAGTAAACGTACTATATCGCAAATTAAGTTTCATAAACGTACTAAAATGCAAATTTTCCCATTTTTTTATAAGCATAGATTTTCATGAAACCATACATGGAGAATCAAATAAAACCTTTTTTAAGTGCTTCCTTACTTTGGTAAGTTGGTTTTGCTTGCTTCTTACTTTTCTCAAACTCAATAGTTTATGCATCGATTCATTAGAACTATGCTGTCATGACAATATGGATTTATTGACCGATAAAATAAAAAGTCTGGTTTGGCTTAAAAAGCAAAGACATAGAGATTAAGACATAGAGACACAAATACATAGAGACTAAATAAGACACCTAGACATAGAGATTAAAACATAGAGACACAAATACATAGAGACTAAATAAGACACAGAGACACAAAGATAATACTTGAAAGTACCATTTAAAAGAAAATACTAAAAATACAAGAGGCTTAGACCATCTTCAATGGAGGTATCTTAGTCTCCTAAGATATCCTCATTGAGGATGCCCTTATTCATCATTAATTGGCTCGAAGTAGACTCCAATATCTTCGAGAAAGTCGGAGGTTCTTCCAAAAAACCCAACTATCTTATGCCCTCTTTTCTTGAAAAGGAGTCTTTTGGCATATTTCACTGAGCCAGTAGGATCGTATCCTAACACTTGAGCTCCTCCTCTATTTGTCTTAATTTTCAGCATGGCTATGGAGAGAAAGCCATAATAATTGGACATTCCTACTTCCATGGATGTGACATAATCATCATCATCGAGCTCAATCTACAAGAAAAAACAAAATTATATCTATATAAATAATGTTTCATAGATAAGATGGAAACTAAGTAGAGACTAGAGCACAAACCGTATATGTCAACACTGCACGTGAATGTGCCTGCGTATCCGGTACCTCACCGTGACCTCCATGGTGAATGATATGTTCATCACCATCGATATACTGCAAGTCGATAGAATAGATTTTTGGCCACTCACTAGTTACAGTAATCTTACGGACCGTAGCGTGTATTCCATCATCCCACCTAGTCCCAATCTCATTGTACAATCCACCTTTTACCACTGAACAGGTCCAAGGAGGTGCCACCGTGAAATAGCCTCCGAGAGCAGTTAGACGATCGAGATCTGATATTCCTCTGAGCCCAACAAGTTTCGTGCGAGATCCCTCCCCTTGGATATTGAATTTTATACCCTCAATTTTACCAAACAGCGGAGATTCTCGGTTGTAGGATGTCTTGAATTTTAAAGAGGTCAACCCTCTGACATTCGGTAAAATATCATAATCATGGTACGTTCCTTCTACAGAGGTGATGTATTCATCGTCCTGAAGCAGCGCAAACTACACAAGTAAAGGAAAAAACAACTTTTAGCAATTTGTTAAAAGACAAAACGTCCAAAAAAGGACTGTAAATTAAGAAATAGATCAAGATTCTTGCAGGACATTAAAAAACAAATATGAAGAATAAAATACGTGATTCATCAAATGAAATAAAGGGAACAGAGAAAATGAATCAAGAAATCAACCATACCTCTTTTGGTGCTTCTGGTGGCTCTTTGCCGTGAGAGTGAAAGATCAAATTCTTAATGCAATCAAATCCACCAACTTGCGAGGCTGAGGGTACCAAGATGTCTCCATTGCAATACTGGAACTTGATGTAGCTCAGGTGGCGATCACTTTCTCCAACCCATAGTTTCTTCACACCTTCATCATACGCCCCATCATCCCAAGTAGTTCCGTAGTTTCCACCTTTAGGTACTGATGGCATTGGCGTATGAGCAGAAGACACCATGTCAAAGTGACCTCCTAACGCGTGAATAACATCACCGGCGCGTCCATGTAGCCCAGCAAACTTCTTTCCATCAGCCCCCAAATGAAATGCTACTGAATGAGTCGATGTTGATATCTTGGTCGGATGCATACCAAAAATTTGAGACGCTCTGCCGCGTGATGTCTCGAACCCGAGCTGCAACACCGTCTTATCCTCATGTTCGACAAAAAAAACCAAATAACTCTGTAATATATTCGTCTGGGTGGTCGACCGCAAAAACCAACTGAAAAGAAAAAACAAAGGCCAAAGCAAAGCACACAAGAACAGAGTAATTAGAAAAAAAAAAAAAAAAATCAAACGAGTAAAGAAAAATAAACCAAACGACTAAAAAGTGTGGGAGAGACAGAAAGAGAGAGAGTGAAAGAAAAACAAATCAAACGACTAAGTGTTGGGGAGAGAGAGGGGTGATAGATTAAGAAAAACCTCTGTAATTTCTTCTCCTCTCATATTTCCATGTTGCTTCTCCACTACATCTCCATCTTTTATGTACTCTATTTTCATGTACACAACACCGTAAGTTTCATGGTCCCCGATGGTTACTTTGCTGATTCCGTCGTAAACACCATCATCAAACGTTTCCCCTTTGTGAGGATCACCACAAATGTCCACAAACATTGACATTTTTTTCTTTCTGAAATGTTTAAAACATTAAAAGAGTATAACGTGAGTCTAAGAAAAAAAATGCGGATTACAACACAACTATCTGTAAGAAAACAAAAATTTACATACTTTTGTTTGAAGAAGAGTCAGCTGCTGTTTCGTTTCTTTGCTTGCATTTAGTTATATAGCAAAGTTATAAAGAAACGAAGTTATATAATTGTGTTGCACAACAGCTGGCTATAACGTACTTTTTTTTTTATAAATAATTTGTTAAGAAAAAAAAAAAAAAAAAAGAAAGAAGATGCGAAGATAGTAGTACTCAATTTAAGAGTCGAGTGGTGAGTCAAAAAAAAAGAAAATTTGATAGCAGAATGGAATGTCGTCACTGGTCTACGGTTCTAGACTTCTTCTAGTCTAAAGTTATATTACCCCTGCAAGTTTCGTAATGATTACTTCGTATAGAGTGATTATAAATACCCATGAAAGTTTGTCATAAATTACGTTGCGTACTTGAGGTGAAGTTCGGATTCTATTCTAGATCCCATGGTGAGGGAGTGGGTATGCATGAGTAAATGTAAAATTGCAGCACTTTTTGTGTGTTTTCAATCTCCTTGAACATAAAAGTTTGGTTGTTACGAGACAATCTATATAATAATTAATCTGCTAATCTACTTACTAGTACTATATATACAAATTTGAAAAGCTATTAAAAGGCGAAAAGCAGGAACCCTTTGAGTGTCTGACTCTAAATGAGATGGGGTCCGTAGTAGTGTGAAACCAAATTGGATTTTTCATTATGACATAAACTATATACGAAGTTTGTTCTCCAAGCAACCCGCAAAATCTACGCTTTCGTTCCTTCTTTTCTCAATCTGATATAAAGAGCATAAACATCGTGAAATACACGTTCCTTTAGAAAATTTATGAAATTGTTTCCGTTCATTTCAATACTCTTTTAAGAAGAAAAAAAATTAACGACACATGAACAAATTAATTAAAAACAAGTTCAAGCCTTTTCATTATTTTTTTTTTCATGAAAACATATATCAGTTGAGACATAAGTTTTACATGCCATATCATAGTCAAAGACAGTAAACCATAATAGTAAATTGAAGATTATGGAGATCGAGTTTTGTTCAGAAGAACATGATATTCTCAATGTAACCTGGAAAACACAACACATCATGATCATGCATCCCAATTCCATGGATGCGTCTAAACCCATAATCAGCGATTCCTTCGACTTGCGCACTTCTGCAAGTCTCTCGCATCACATCGCAATAGAAAACAGACAAAGGCTTAGATGACTGTAACTGGTTCGAGACCAACATAACTTCTCCGGTATGAATCTCTCCGGGACAAGATGGTCTCTTCTCCCTAAACAAAGCTCCCCACTCACAAGGCACAGCGCAAGCCATATTATTCCACAACTCCTCTTTCTCTTGAATCCACACACGCATCTCATTGTACAAGTAATCACACTCCATCCCTCCAAATTTTCCTTGGTGATTTATAAAAGTCCAACTTTTGATATCGTCTTTAGCTGGTGCTTCATAACATCATCTTCTCGGATCTAAGATCGAATCTAGCTATCTTCTTGGTATGTCCAACTCCGTAGTATATAGCACCATTGATGCAAACTCCGCCTTCTACATCTGTGTAAGACTCTCCGGTGGGGTTCTCAATCCTTCTCCAATACATGTGTTTAGATCGAGATCCCGGTAATGTTAAAACGAGATGTTCTTGATTTATATATGTTATACCGCGTTTGCGCCCATCAAACGTCATCACTCACAACACTTTGTATTCATCTTCCACCGGATCGTACCCGAGACGTGCGTGCGCGGCTCCTCCCTTGGATCTGACACGGGGTAGTGTCATCAACTGTCTCGTGGTGGGATTACAAATAGCGATAGATGAGCCACGTGTGCAACACACAAGCCCGTTCACGGGGGGAGATGTGATGTAGTACGGCCCGTAGGGGGCACATCTGTTGTTGTAGTTGTAGCCGAGATCCGAGATCGTCATGTCGTGTCTGGCAACAACTGTGGAGGATTTGTCGCCGTATTTTTTGTCGTGTTCAGGGGATGAGAAGATGAAACGCGAATCCAAGTCTTCAACGGTAAAAAGGAGACGAGGCCGAGTCCTGGACCGAGTAAGAAAAGCGTCGACGAAATCTTTACTATGGATGATAGAGCACCATAGCTTCGACACGGATCGGAATCCCAAGACAGATATCGCTGGAAGCCTCGATAGTATCTCAAAGGTGAGTTTCAAAGGAATAGTAGTTGTGGAGTTTCCGGCATGGTCTATTTTACGTGCTTTACACGGTTGTGAATCTTGCATGGCGGCTTAATTGGTACGTAACCCTAGAGAAATAAAACCCACATACAATATATAAAGCACTTTTTTATATCTTAATTAAAACAAAATGGAAAGTTTCCAAGACCGGCTCCGGTCTTTCTTTTTTTAGTTCCATAAACCTTTTTTTTTATTTTTTATTATTCGTTAGATTTATAATCAATGAAAGTATATTTTATATACCCCTAAATGTTAATTATCGTTTTCAAGAATAGCAATTAACTCAAGATAGCATATTGCGGATAAAGGGAAATTTACTCTTTAATTATTTCCATTTAAATCACAACTGAAAATATACCTTTTTATTATAAAAAAAAAAAAAAGAAGCTGAAACTATAACAATCAGATTATTTGAGAGAGTTAAGAGATCAGCACGGAAGATATTGAAGAAGGACGAGGAAAAACGAAAAAGAAATATGTGCATGTTTTATTATCTAGCTCATACAGTATATAATTATATATAAATATATCCCTTGCAAATACAAAAGTTTGAATGTTGTAGTTGTTAACGGCGGGAACAAATGTTATTAATCGTCACAGCAACATGAATGAGATAATTTCAGCTTTATGCGGGACATTAAAGTGGTTGGTTGGACCAACGACAAAAAAAAAATGTTGGTGTATTTACAAAACCTAGTTTAGAATAAGCTAGTTCAGCAAATATTGATTGCACCTGCGAATGGCTTTACAGTAAATGGAACAGTTAATATTTTAGGTAGCAACATCCCACACCACACCATTCACACTTTTACCCATCTAGATTTAAGATAGCCATTAAAAGGAGCTCTATATATATGCATAACTTTTATTACAGTACATGGACAAAAGTAAAAAAAAAAGGATTCAGGGCATTGAATTTTTAGTTGTTGTTCAACATTTTACCTATTTAAATGAAACAGTTATTATTTTAACCAACTCCATTCCCATATTTACCCATCCGTCCCATAAAAAAACAAACGGCTATATATGCGTAAATTTAAATACGCTGGAGTCATATATGGAGACAGTAATGATTTTTTATCGTTTTTGAACAACCTCAGTAATGAATTTATTATGTTCATATATACACGCCACTCAATTATTATTTTGAATTGACAATTTTTGAATTTATTTTATTATTATATTGAAAATAGAGCTAGCCCATTTTAACGTGTTCAGTGTTTTTCTTGCCAGCTAACGTTCACAATGGTTTTATTTTAATTTTTATTTGTTCAAAATATATGAATTGTAATCACTGTGTGTATATATATATATATATACATGGTTGGCTTTGGAGATATTTTAAATTAATTAGATTTGGAATTACAAGGTAGTAATGTTTTACTTATTGATATTTTAAATTAATCCATATAAACATAGTAGTTGATATTTTAAATTATAGAGACACGGTTTCCAGAGCCATTTTGAGAGATGGTTCGGGTTAGGAAAGCTTAAGCCATTGAGAAGACAAAGTGAGAAAAAAATCCCTCTATTAATAATGAAGAAAACAGATTGTGAATCAACCAATTAAAGATCTCGTCAAGCTAAAGAATATCTGACCGTTGGATTCAGAAAGGACACAAACTTTGCTGTGATCCTCTACGGCTCAAGCACCGAACCAAAAACTAAACGGGATCAGAAAATCCTTTTAGTTCACCAACTGATGCATGAAATTTTGCAGTTCAATCGAATCAAGCACCGAACCAAAATCTAAACGGGATCAGAAAGCTCACTCATATGCTTGTGACTGTCTTGTGGTTCGTGTGCTGCTACATCATCTTGACTCGTTTGCTGCTTGAGGATGAGTTTCTTAGACCTCTACTAGTTATTGTGTATGAAGCCGAAGCTGAAGGAAGTGAAGGGGACTTATCAATATACGCGTAACGCTCATCACCGTTCCAATACAGAATAACTCTGTTGGTGCACGAATGAGACCAACTATCGCCTGGAAACAGCACACGATTGAACATTTAAGTTTCATAACAAAATCAGTGATGATGATAATAGCAATTTTGACACAGTAGATTTGAGCTTGGTTCACCTAATGCAAGAGCTAGTTGAAACGAGCCTTCAGTGTACTTTGTGGTCACCTGGTTTAGTAACACAACCTGAGATTGGATTATAAGAGTTTATTATGGTACCTCTAGTTGAGCTAATTCGGTTTTAAGCCAAGGATGTGTTGTGATTTAGATCATTTCTAGACATTCTTACCGCAAGTGAGAACTTTTTGGCAAGCTTCATGAATTTTAGAGCCATTTCGCTGAGCACTCGTGTCCTCTGGACTAAGTCATCAAAGTCCTGACGGAAATGAAACGTGATACTGTCCACGATTACCACTTTAACCTGCAATCATAAAATATTAAAGAGAGTCTTAGTGAATCATCGAATTATGTTTCAATATACTTGTAGCAGCAAGATCAATGGATGTCAGAATTGAACTAATATTTGTATACCTACATCTTTATTTTCAGAGATGAACTTGTCAAGATGATTAACCAAAGCAATTTGCTCGGTGTAACTGCAGACACGGAAGTAGAATATGTTCTCTAAGATATCTTTGGGTTTCATTTGTACTTGATTTGCTTTAAAATGTTTATGCATGTATCCTGTGTATTCTTCCATATCCTCCACACAAGCTTCTGCTATCTGTAAAGCACGTTCCACCATGAAGCTACCTTCTGTATCTGTAGCATACAAAAACTTGGGAATCACAGGCATTAACAACCAACAAGTAAATGATACGTGACTATGGTTGATGTTAGTGATGAAGTTGGGTGTTTTGGGTTTTGATATTTTAGTTTAATTATTTACAATTAATTAATACATTAGGGTTGGGTGTTTTGGTTTTAATGTTTAGGTTAATTAAAAGTTGTATCATGACCTATATAAATATAGGTCATTATGCTAATGAGAAACCAAGCCCCAAGAATTAACCTTAATCTCTAAGAGAGACTAGGGTTAAGAGGGAGCTAAGCTTTTAGAATCTCTCTTATTCCTTAAGCAAAAGTTGGTTCATAACATTTGGTATCAGAGCCAAACGGTTCGATGGGAGAGTTCGATAGGACAACGACATGGGTTGATCAGATATTCGATAAGCTGATAACACGATTCGATGAGTTATTCGAGGAGATGAAGAACGAATTGATGGCAGAAGTAACTAAGAACTTTGACATGATGCGCTCTAAAATTGCGGTGGACATTGAGGAGGAGGAGTCTCTGGCTGCAACAATTGCACTGAGAGAGCCACGAGGTATTCAACAAGAAGAAGTTGTAAGAGACGAGAGAGAGGATCATCTCTCTCACGAAAAGCAGAAAGAGCTAGCTTCTCTAATTTATTTTTCCGTCAATCTGGAAGAAGAGCCAGAGCAAGTGCTTCCATCAGAAGGGAAGGTCGTGAAAGAGGCAACAATACTAGTTTTCCTAAGACCACCAGCAGCCGTGATGCATAAGCTGCTTGTGAGGTTTTGCCCAAGTGTCTAAGAAACTCTTACCCAAGATGAAGGTTTCAGCAAAAGAAACAAAGAAGGTCACGAGGAGCTCACGTGACATCTATACAATTCAGCAAAGGGACAAAGGAGTAATTAACCTATGTCTGAACTCAATCTCTTTTGTCTCCTTCCTCTGTACGGAACAGAGCATGCGAGAAAGAAAGAAGAGAGAGAGATAGGTTGTCTTGTATAAAAGGGGAGTAAGCTGAGGTTTTTTAGGGTTAAGAGAGCAAGGAGAAGAGACGGCTAAGTTTATAGTTGGTCTCTAGGGTTTTTGTAACCAAGAACAGCTTTCTAGTGGATTTCCGAGTTAATCTCGGCGAGACGTAGCGTTTCCGGTTTGGAACGTGAACTCGTTAAACTTGCTGTGTCTTTTACTTTCAGTTCTGGTTTTTTTTTCCTAAGCTTAACACACGAGAGAGAAACACTCCGCGAGTGAAAGTGAGTTTAGAGACAAAAGTTCAACTATTTCTTACAAAAGCTTCAAGAAACTTTCAACGATTCTTAACAAATTGGTATCAGAGCCAAGGTTGGCGAAGAAAGGCTCAAGCTGGTTTTTTGTTTAAATCTTCAAGTTCCGCAAGAAGGTTTTAAGCTTTATCAGAAAGTTTCAAGCTTTAGAAGGAAAGAGGAAGCTTTACAGAGAAAGGTGTGAGTTTTGCAAAGGAAGGAGCTAGTTTGTAAGAACGCTCAAAGCTTTGTCAAGAAAGGTGACATCTTTATCAAGGTATGGCTTCGGGAAGTATAGATCTGGATAAGTTTGATGGTTTTGGAGACTATGTCTCATGGAAAGCCAAGTTCGTGGCCCATCTAAAAGATCTGGACTTGCTAGAAGGACTGAGAGAAGAAGAGTGTTCAGAGAAAGGTTCAACAAGTTCTGGATCTGCAAAAGAGAGAGTTAAAGATCTTGAAGAATGTGAGATCTTGAAAGAGAAGAAGAGAAAGGCTAGAGCTTTCATCATAGTCAGCGTTGGAGATCATGTCTTGAGAAAGATCATGAAAGAAGAAACTGCTGCAGGTATGATGCATCTCTTAGACAAGTTATATTTGTCTAAATCTCAGCCAAGTTACAGTTTGTCAAACCGCATCCAGTCAAATCGTTTATATCTTAAGAGAAAACTCTTTGAGTTTAAGATGAGTATAAACGGATCTATGAAGGAGAACATAGAAGAGTTCTTAAGTATAGTTGCAGGTTTAGACAGAGAATGTGAGGTTGTGTCTGATGAGACAAAAGCTATGCTGCTTCTCACGTCTCTTCTTGATCAGTTTAGTGAACTAAAGGAATCATTGCAGAACAGTGAGACATCTCTGACATTGGAGAGTATAATGAGAGTCATTTACTCCAAAGAAGAAGAGTTTGATCAGTTTTGGAAACAAGCAAAAGAAAGAAGCTTGTTTGAACAAAGAATGAGGTTGTCAAAACTGAGAGCAAACCAAGAGAAGGGAAAGAAGAAGAACAAATCTAAGGTAAAAGAGAAGAATAAGATTTGTTGGACTTGTCGTAAGGAAGGCCACAGT